ATATACATCTATATGCACACACACAGAGAGAGTGAGCCCTAAACAGAGAATATAACATCAACATTAATGTTGAGTGGCCACAACACTCCCAACAGCGGTATTTGCAGCTGTTTGTCTTTCTTTGGACAACTCCATCTTTTTCTTCGCCTGGATTGTCTTACAGTTTATCTCAGTCTTTTTAGCATACTGCAGGAATAACACATTTGTCTCCTTCTCTCCAAATTTCTGAAGAGACTTCTCCCTACAGGCCATCACAGTGTCCACATGGGTCTTATGTTTGAGAGCCAAGTTCATGGCCCTCTCCCAGTTGAACAGGTTTATGTTGACTTGTATGGCCTCGGAGATGAGTCCAGCTTGTAACAGAGTGGTCTCAGCCTCCTGGATATGACCACTGAACAACAGCCAGTGAGCCATGGATAACTCCTTAGATGGCTGGTTCTTAATGAATTTAAGGTACCGCACCCTTGGTAAGTCTCCAATGGCAGCAAAGGCAATGCCTGCTGTGTTTAGCTCCCTGTTTTCCACGGACATACCAGCCAGACATGCCCACAAGGATTTGTCCTTGGCAAAGCGACAGAGGCGCAGTGCATCCTCCCAGCGTGAAGATGCGATGTATTCTTGAAGCAAGGCTGGGTATGGAGGTACGGCACTGTACGTTAGTGAACCGTCTGCTTGGTGTAACGTTACCTTGGTGCCAACATAGCTCAGAATGCGGGGGCCTCGGCTGAACTCACTGCTGTCTTTCGTGTACAGTGTTTTTGGCAGCAGGTCCTTGTCGGTGAAGACAACACTGGGGTAGTACCACACTTTGAACTGATTGTCTTCGATTCCACACAGGATGTTAGCATTATCATTCCATGCCATACTGTGAACCATGCTGCCAATTTTGCAGATTTTTTGCTTTGGTCCAGTATGACAAACGGAAGTCAGATAAAGGTCACGGTGCTTGTCTATGAAGGCAATCATCCTCTTGGTGGATGGGCCACACTGGTCCAGAGCGATCTCCACCACCTCCACCTTGTGGGTCAACGGCTTCTTGTTGCCAAGGGCTTTTCCGTTCAGGGCATCAAAAAGAATGATGACTTTTTCATCACTCTGGTCCCGGATGGCAATTGTGTCATTACTCAGTGAGATACACTGAGCATTTAGGCTGTCAGCTCTCATACCAGGGATTTTAGGGGAAGATATCAGTTGACCATCATAGGAGAACACATACAACCCTGCTCCATCCACAAGCAGAAAGTGTTTGTCCGCTTGCAGGATGAGCCTTACTCTTCTCTCCTTCAAGTCGAAGATGAGGGGAGTATTCCAGTTACTTGAATTGTAAACATAGCACTGGAGGGATGTGGCGACAACCAGGTGACCATATGCCAGTGAGGCTTTGATGACTCGATCTCTAAACTCCAATGCATGCACTGCATTGTTCATCACATCCCTCACCTGCATGGTGTGCTTACTGGTAAGAGTGACCACACAGTTCTTCCACTCCCAGTGCTGCTCCACCACATGACCAAGGATGACATGCCCTTTACCACAAGCCCCAGCCAACTGGGTGCTGTCTGCAGACCAAGCCAAATTGATCACACTGCCCATGTTGTGTCTCTCCTTCCCATAACACAATCCAGTCTTTTCGCAGAGCCACAGGGAATTGAAGGAGCCCACAGCAAACACTTCTCCATTTGGTGCCCAGGACAGAGAGGTGATTGGATAGTCATGAGCTGACGAGGAATAAAGCAGACGGCCAAAGCTGTCCCATACTTTATATTTAGAGTCTTCTCCACTTGATAGTATCAGGTCATTGGCTGAATTCCAGTCCACCTGATGCAAGCCACCAGCCTCAGAAATAGCCAACCAACTTAATCTTGATAAAAATTGATTAATTTTGTCCGTGTTTTGCGAACCACCTTGCCTTCTTTTATTTTCTCTGTCTCTCGCCTTGCTATGTGATTCAATCTAATTTTGCAATACCATGCAGAAGCCATCTTCACAAGAACATACACATGATTAGCTTCAACACACATGTCAAGCATGTGGCTGTGCAGCTGTGGGAAGAGATTCTTTTCCGAACAATCCTGGGTAAAAATTGATGCTGTTGTTCCCTTTCCATGTGGAGTCTTGCCCTCGTTGCTTTTTAGAAGCCACAGGAAGCATCTTTCTGTAGCTTGACAAACTGCGGTTATGCTTGGTAAAGGTTTCTGTAAACCACCTCTGTCCTTCAAAGTCACAAATTGATGCCCTGAGGTGAGTGCTTCTGAGCAAGGCATACAGGTGATCCTCTGCTTCATTTTTTTAACAATAAAGCCTGTGATGTAAGCGATGGCTGCCTCCTTGAACTCAGACAGTGTGTCCACATCTGGAAGGTGAGAAAACACATCATTCTCAGGCACAAGCACTTCCATGTGCTCCACATCCACCCTGCCTGCAATATTAATGGTTGCAGGTGTTGAGTCAAGGATGGTGGTATTGTCGCGAAGGAGACAGTTATCTGGTGCCTCACAAGGAGGCGCTTAAATGCCCCTCGGAAGTGCATTACATTGAGGTTGTTGTTGTAACCTCCACGTGCTCTGATAGCAGAAAAAAAAGCCCCAAGTGGTCCTGACTGAGGTTGTAGGTAAGAATGTATCAGCACGGGGCAGCTGGCTGCTCTACCAGATCTTCGTAGATGCCCATGACACTTCTGTAACAAGCAATGAACCCAAAGATGGGTGTCTTTTTCTAGGTGGAATACAAGTGAACAAGTCTGTTGCATTTGTTTTTAACTTTGAGCCCTCGGAGAAGTGACTCAGTTTCATCAAGAATGGTTTTGGCACGGTGTTTTGTTGCTGGTTTAATGGGGGCTTTCTGTCCTTTTCCAAGTGGGTTACGGCTGTTAAGGTCATCAAAAGCTGCATCAATTGTGCGCACAAACTGAGCGGTGGCAGCACATCCACTGAACTGTGAATATTTTAGCTCTTGCTCACAATAGTCAAGGGCATCAGCCACACTGCGACTGAAGAGCTGGGCCGCAAGATGGACCTTCATTTTCTGATTGCACCACTGAATGTGCGCCATTTTTAATTTGTTGCCGTGACGCAAGCCTTCCTTCTCCTGAAGTTTGTGGAGCTCCTCAAATGTACTGCCACTATCTGCTGGCCATCTCTAACCAGAACCTTATCTGTTGACAAAACATTTCGAAGTTTAAGTATGTGACATGGATCCAAGAGCACAAAGACTTTGTGTGTTATCCTGAGGATGGATAAAGTAAGATCTCATGTCCAAGCTCTCTGATCATTTTGATGTTTTGAGTGAGGACCATCACATGTCAAGGACCCTAACTTCAATTTCATGGAGCCTAAAAAGGCTCTCTTGGATGAGGTTTGCTCTCTCCGCTCCTGTCATGCTGTTGATAAGAAAGTAAGCAATCAGAATCTTCCAGGACTCATTGATTGCAACAACCATAAGAACTAATGCTTGTGTTGCCACAACATTTTCCATCTCACCAGCACCGATGTCGACATAGCCATGAATTTGGTCTCCCCTGAACTCTGTTTGCTTATGAATGTACATTTCGTCCATCATTAATGGACAAACTGTGTCTTTTCCTTCTTTCTTCTGCTCAGCAACATGATCTTTTAATGAAGCAGCAGTAAATCCGGGATCTGCAGAGATGCTACAGTCTCATCTTGTTTACAAAAAGCCTGTTGAGCTGTGTCTGCCATTATAGCAACATTGCCCTGATCGGCAGTAAGATTTTTTCCATGACTGCCATTGTCTATATCTGCAACCTCCTTAGTGTTATTTCCAACAGAAATAGGAATGTCATTTACCTCCTCATTCATACCTACAAATAAACAAACCTCTCCCTCTGGGTTGTCCTCTTTGCCCTTGGAGTGTAAGAAAACGGTAGGGTGTGAGTGAGTGTCATTAATACAAGTTCTGTAGATAAAAATCTCTGTACACAGTTCATGCTAAAATTGTAGTTGCTATGTAAATATTAATAATTACTTTCAAATATTACTTAGGCTTGCACAGTGTTTGGCTGTCTCACTTGGAGAAACAAAATGTCAAAAACATGACATGTGGGTGAAAAAAAAGATTATCAGGTATAGGATCTTGCACTTAAGCCATGAAGTCATTTTGAACCGATGAGTGAGCCTTGCAGCTTGCAGGTGGCTACTGGCTAGCAGCTAGTGACAAATGTCGCAGCATCCATGGACAGTGTCACTCAAGAGACCACATCCCTAATTATGCATATTTTCAAACATCTATATAATTTAAATTAGTGAGTTAGAAAAAATGAAGAACTTAGTGATTGAGACTAAAACTGTTCTTTGAACCAGACTGTAAACAGGTGTAATTCTTCTCTAAAGTTGGGCTTTTTATCATCGGAGTCAATTTAAACCATCAAGTTGCTTGTTGTCTCAGAAGTCATTAAAACATTTCTGTGTACCCTTGTGTCAATGCTCAAGTGATCTCTCTGAAAATTCACTGCAGAGATGAGAATTCTTCTGTGGAGTCCAGTTCTGTCTCTTCATACTGAGGATCCACAGGTCGAACCTCTCAGGATCATCCAGAGGACTACTACACAGACAAAAAATATGTAAAATAATTTATCTGTCAGTTTATCTTCTTCACAGACTTATTTATATGTAATCAATAAAACAATAATTAATAACTCAGTTTTTTGTAGATATCACAGTGCATTGCCTCTTTTTGTGTTAGTTTGGGCTTATTTCTTACACTTTCTTACTATTTGAAGTTATTTCATATTCAAATGGATACTATTTCATGGTATATTCACATTTGTAACACACAAGTGCCATACGTTTAATAGGTGTTACTGTGTGAAAGTGGACAATTCAGAACATTGCAACAGAACAACTTAGTATTCAATGAAACCACACATAATGACACATCAAGTGAAAAAAATATTACATATGTTTTCATTATATACATTATGATTAAATAGTACTCATAATTATTATTATTATCATCTACCCTTGCCAGATATAAATAGCATTGACATTAACAAATAAGGTTAGCCTCAATGACAAACTCCAGTTAAACAGTTAATATAGGGCAACATTTAAGTTGTTATCCCTGTGACCGTTATGACATTAAATATGAATAATTATATATTACACACCATCATTGCCCAGAACTTTAACATTCACATTGTGTAATTTATAATCCCCCAATTCAACATTGAAACACACATTGATCCTCAGCAAATGGGTTTCATAAAATAATATAAATAAAATGCCTACATACTGTTGTGGCTTCCTGTGGTGTCGTCTAAGTTCCCATAGACATTCAAATTCGTCTTTAAATGGCATCATTAAAAGGATACAAACTTTCATTTCATATCCCTTTAAGTTATTGATACATTACACTGCTAACATTTACCAATCAATTACAGCCGATAGATAATGTAGAGAAAAACTTTATACCATCACATGCGCACCTCTGACACAGAAAGTAGGTGGTGGCTGAGAGGTAGAGCGGTCGTCCTCCAACCAGAAGGTCAGAGGTTCAATCCCCAGTCTTCCCATCTGCATGCCAAAGTGTCCTTGGGCAAGATACTGAACCCCAAACTGCCCAATAAAACAACAAGAAAGTGCTAGCTATAGAAGCACTGTATCTATGTATGGGTGAATGGCAAACTGTAGTGTAAAGCACTTTGAGTGGTCATCAGGACTAGAAAAGCGCTATGTAAATTTTACCATTTATAGTACTTACTACATACTGAAAACTACACATAACACTGAGCTGAATAAATTGCATGATGATTGTTCCCACACTTTTTTAAAACACTGAATCCACCAATTATAATCTCTTTATTTTTTTAACCTACATCTCCTGATCCTTTGAAATATTTTATTGTTTTTTGGATTATTATTAGAAATTCAGATTTTAAATTGAGGCATTAAATTGTGTCATGCACATGCTGTATGACAAGCATTTGTCTGGAGATTAATGCAGCTAAATTATGAAGGAGTTAACAGAGTACACTGACATAAAAATAATAAAATAGTGAAATTGGAATAGAAAATCGCTTCATAGAACAGCACAAAATGAGGAAGAGAATGAGGCAGGAGGGCCTGGTGCACTATGAAACAAGAAGACAAGTACATAAGAGAGGTCACAGTAACTCCTTACAGCCAGTAATCTTTCTCTATCTAGGGGCTAAAGGTTATAACTGTCCAGAAAGGGGACATCACTGTCTAATGCCTGAACCTGTAGTAGAAAGCTCAGGCTACCAGCAGCCCACACTTACACACACAAACAAAGTTTCCAACAGAGACACAAAACATCTCAAAAAGTAGAGCGCATTAAATGGCAAAAAGAAAACCATGGTCGTCCATATCAAAAGCTCTCTCCTGATCACATGACACACAGAACAAAATGTTCTCAAAATAGCAACAAAGTACCTCAGAATAATGAGAAACTTTCAGAAAGGTGAGTTATGTTCAAGCTGTGGAAATGAGGGAGACACTTGATGTGTATCTGTTTTAAAACATTAATAAAATATCTGAATGGGGGAACTGTGTGCATTACAGATTCCCCAAAGTAAACCTTTTGTTCACATGCGTATTTATTTCCATGCAGATTCAGTGAGAACTTGTACTACATGGTTTCACACAGACCTGATCGCTTTCTCTTTGTCATATAGTGGGAGTATTTCAAGGGACTTTGGGGGACCCCAGGCAAAAGGGAGCTGGGGGGGTCCCTGCATTTCACAAACCTCCTGCCCCCTCCCCAAACAAAGAGCAAACACAAGCATTTTGACAGTCTTGTCTTCAACCAAAACTCTAAAATCARGAAGCTTTTGGCTAAAAGCTAGTGGCATTGGGTCTTTTTAGGGGGTTTCCATGGTGCCACCGTAGTCTCCTGTACAAAGCCAACTGTAGAATTTAAGGAAGTACGTGTGGTTCAGTAGTTAAGTAGACAAAATGTTGTCAAATCTATATGAAGTTATGCTGCAAAAATGTGTATATGTGGAAATACGCCACGTCTTAACTTGATTATTTGAGGGTATTAAGGTAAAGATAATCAGAAAATGCTGTTCACATGGAAGTCTTATTCAGACTATTGTCTTCATCAGTTTAATGTTTGAATATTGCTGTTGTTGCAAACATGTCTATTGTTTCCCAGATCCTCCCATTGTCCTGGGTCCCACTGTCCTCACACCTGCTCCCACTTCACAATTGCCTGCAGTCACCTGGTATCTCCCCACCTGCACCTCATTCAATGATCAGCCTTCCACTATATATACACCAGCTCCTTCRCTTTGYCTGCTTTTGTTGGTTTCTCTCTTCTTGTGGTCCTGTGTGTGYTTTCTACTTGGTCTTGCAGCCTGTGTTCAGATGGTCACTGTCTGTAGTGTATTTCCTTTGTCTAAAAATTCAGCCAAATAGGCCACAGTGGCAGCTCATGAAGCCAGAGGTATTATGTYGAGTCATCAGACAGGCAGTGAAAATACTCTGAAAAGCCTCTGTGGCATAGGAGGTCGTGAAGTGTTAAAAGAAATACACAGAATTTTCCAAATCACCAACAAATTACATTTTGAATTCTTTCCTATTCTTGCTTGATATGATTTCAATTGCTCTGCAGTTTCCATTGTTGTATTTTGTGCTTTTGYGCCAAACAGGTCTGAACTGCAGGCCATAGTACCCTCAGTGTTTAATTCTGATGCCAAACAGTTGTAACCAGACAGAATGTGTCTTTCTGGAATAAGCAGTTATGTCCCCAATGTCAATAAATGAACCTGCTACATTTCTTGCAAAGGGCACGTCAAGACAATGTTGTTAAACTGTACAGTTTTACTCAATGATGAACCTCTCCCTGTCTTTTCTTGTGAACTTCTTATGAGGATGCCTCAATGAGAACACACAATCACCTGTTACCGATCAACCTCTTTACCTGTGGAATGTTCCATGCAGGTGTTTCATACCAAAACTTTCTCTGTCTGTTCTTTTTTAAATGTGTTGCATCGAGTTGAAAATGAGCTCATCTTTAAACAAACGCAGGTTCACCAGCTGAACCTTAAATAACTTTGTATTGTGATGAAC